TATATGAGTACTTACACATGAACACACACATTATTGTTTTTCTAAACCCTTTGAGAATAAGTTGCCCACATGATGCTGTTTTACTACTAAATATTTCAGTGTGTACTTCCTAAAAACAAGAATATTGTCTTTCATAATTACATTGTAATGATCAAGATCAGGAAATCAAGATGGATACAATATTATCTAATCTCAGGTTTTATCCAAATTCTACCAAGTCCTTTTAATGCCCTTTAGGTCAATAGACAATTTTTTTTTCTGGACTGGGAACTAATCCAAGATCACATTGGACTTGCTGGATCATATGGTCATTCTGTTTAACATTTTGAAGAACTGCCAAACTGCTTTCTAAAGTGACTATTGTTTTACATTCCCACCAATAATGTATAAGGGTTTCAATTTCTCCATATCCTACTAGCACTTTTAATTTTTCTTATTTAAAAAAAGTTATGGCCAATCTAGTAGATATGAATGAGATCTAATCTTGGTTTTGATTTGCATTTCCTTATTGACTAATGACATTGAACATCTTTTCATGTGCTTGTTGATCATTTTTATAATTTCTTTGAAGAAATGTCTTCATGTCCTTTGCCCACTTTTTAAGTGAGTTGTCTTTTCTATTCTAAGAGTTCTTTGTTATATTCTGATACTATATTCTTATCAGATATATGATTTGCAAGTATTTTCTCCTATTTTGTATATTGTATTTTCACTCTTTTGACTGTATCCTTTGCTAAACAAAATTTTAAATTTTTGATAAAGTCTAATTAACCCATTTTTCCTTTGCTGCTTATATTTCTCATATTAGATCTAAGAAGCCATTGCCAAATCTGAGGTAATGAGGATTTATGCCTATGTTTTCTTCTATGGGTATTATAGTTTTAGTTTTATAATTTAGGTCTTTGATCTATTTTGAATTAACTTTTATAGATGATGTGAGGTAAGGGTCCAGGTTTATTCTTTTGCATCTGAATATCTAGTTCTCCCAGCACTATTTTTTGGAGAGACTGTTCTTACCTCATTGAATGGTCTTGGCATTCTTGTTGAAAATCATTTGGCCCCAGATTTATGGGTTCATTTCTGGATTCTTATGTCCATTCCATTCATTTATATGTTTATTCTTATGTTAATACCACATTGTTTTGATTACTGTAGCTTTGTATTAATTTTTGAAATCAGGAAGTAAGTCCATCAATCTTGGGTTTGTTTTTTCTTCAAGATTGTTTTGGCTATTTAAGGTACTTTACAATTTAATATGAATTTTAGGATCAGCTTTTCCATTCCTGCAAAAAATCATTCCTTTTGGGAAGGATTGTGTTGAATCTGTAGCTTCCTTTGGGAGGTATTGCTATCTTATATAATGATGAACGTGGACTATCTTTTCCAAGCCATGAACATGGAACATCTTTTCATTTATTTAGGTCTTCTTTAATTTCTCTCAGTGGTGTTTATAGTTTTCAGTGTATAAGTCCAGCACGTCCGTGGTTAAATTGATTCCTAAGTTTTTTTTTTTTTTAATGCTACTTCACATAGGACTTTTTCTTAATTTCCTTTTTATATAGCTCATTGCCAATGTATAGGGAAAAAAACCTGATCTGTATCATGCATCTTTGCTTATTTCACTTATTAGCTCTAATAGTTTTTGGGGTTTTGTAGATATTTTAGATACAGTCATATGCCTGTTGCTTTTTTTGCAAAAGGGTATTTAGAATTCAAAATCTGGGTGCTAAATGTACTCATAACTACTGTGATATAATTGCTTTTAGATCTTAGAGGACAGTACTGGAAAGTACATACATACATGCTATCAGTATATAATTCTGTTCCTATCTAAATCTATGTGTTAAAAATGAGTTTTTTTGTTTTTTTTTAATGTTTTTTATTTATTTATTTATTTATTTATTTATTTATTTATTTCTAGGAGAGAGAGAGAGACAGCGCGAGCAGGGGAGGGTCAGAGAGAGAGGGAGTCACAGACTGAAACAGGCTCCAGGCTCTGAGCTGGCAGTCAGCACAGAGCCCGACGCAGGGCTTGAACCCACGAATAGCGATATCATGACCTAAGCGAAAGTCGGACGCCTAACCGACTAAGCCACCCAGGCGCCCCTAAAAATGATGAGTTCTTGCTGATATCTCCAGTTTCAATCCTATTAGTGATACTGGAAACTGGGATTCTGCGTGTTTCAAGCAGCAGCCTACATTGTCACAGAAGCCCCAGGATGGGAAGCAAGAGGTATATTGTGACCAGTTCTGTGATTAGAGTAATTGGAATAGAGAGGATTTTGACTTGGTATACAAAGTGTGCCCAATATATTCAGTCTCTGTAATTAGCTTTTTCTCTTTTCCTTTTTACTTCTCTGGGCACTCCTTTTTCAGACTTCTTTTACTGAGTGATCCTCTGGGTTTTTTACTAAGCCCCCTCTTTGCCCACTTAGTACTTTTTCTAGACTAGCTCACTGACTTCCATGTCTTTGAGTACCCTTTGTGCAATAGCTTCAGTCCATGTCTTCTGTGCTTCAGATCAGCCTATTCAACTGCATACTGAACAGTTTCACTTGTATGTTCTCCTGATGCCAATATATCACAGTTAAAATGTCCTAAACTTGTTCATTATGCCCTAATTTTACCCTATTGCAACAAGGCTCTCTTCCTTTTGCTCAAAGGTTCCTTCCTAGTTGCCCAAACCAGAAACGGGCATTTCCATGGATTTCTCCCTCTTCCTCACCTACAATCAAGTCTTCTCCATTTACTCTCCTAAAAATCTCAAATCTGTTTATTCATCTTCATCCTCATGGTCACTGTCTTAAACTAGATTACTGTTATCCCTTACTTGGATTCCAGCATGCTAATCGGCCTCAGAAACCCATTCTTAGCCTTATAGCCATTTAGAAAATGAGTTCTAAGTTCTAGTCCTGGCTGTGTCACTCTCAGCTGTATGACCTTGATCAGGTTGTTTCATAGCTTTAAGGCTCCGTTTTCTTATCTGTGATACAGAGACAGGAATAGTACTTATTTCAGAGGGCAATTTTGAGAAGTATATGAAGGGATAGATGCAAAGTTCTTAGCATATTGGCTGATTCATAGTAAGTGGTCAACAAATGTTAGCTAGCTATTATCATTATAATCATTCCAGGGTTCTTAAATCCAGCCTCTGCTTTTTCTCCAGTTTCTTCTCTGATCGATTCCTTTTATTCAGTTTTTCAGCTTTTCTGAACTTCTTTCAGTTGCTCTAATATCTGATGCCCTCTTTTGCCTCCAGGTCTTTCCTCTGCTCCTTTTCCTAAAATTCTCTTCCCCTTCATCCTCCTACCTTATTTACTCTTCTTAATTTATGCATCAGTTTCTCTTGGGAATTTTGATTTGGTATCATTTATTTGTGTTCCAACAACTTTAAGTTCCCTTATCAGGGATCTTATCTCACCACACTGGAGTTAACTGGTTACTTGTTAGTCTATCAAGCCACTGAGTGTAGGGACCAATTTACCTTGTTCACTATTGCATCTCCAATTCCTAACCTGGATTCATTCAGTGAATGAAAAGATAATGAATGGGCCACATTAACATTGTATGTTTTTTGATCTCCTGCTTGGTTAACTCCTGGTCACAGCCCTGCTTGGCTTCAGGAGTGGGGAGGATTGAAAGGGAAAACTGTCCTTGTAGCATATCAGCTATTAGCAGTTGCTGCAATAATTGCTGGCCTCCCAATTATTAGCTGATCAGTAACTCCCAGCACTGTTCCTTTACACATGAACTTTTCCTGTCTTACCTCCACAAGTCTTATGGCCTTTCTTACCTGGGGAACATCCTTTGACACTATCGCCCTATGATGAAATCTGTTATCTCTAACTCCGAGATTACTCTGTTATATTTGCCTGGAAATAATTAGATTAAATGCATATTCAATATTTCACAATTTCATATGGTTTATCCTGTCTGCAATTTTGTCAATTGGACATATATCTGAGAAGCTAATTATATTGCAGTGCAAACTGTGAATAGCTGCAGACTGGAAGGATAAGGGGGTTGGGCAGGTGGGCCTGGAACGGCTCGAATTTGTGGTGGAAGAAGACACAAATCAGTGAGATGGAACAGATGGTTAAAGGACACAGCTGCAGGTCCAAACAGGGGCACACAAACCGGTCCGCGCTGAAATAAGGAAGACGCTAGGGGGCAGCAAAGGTCCGCAGATTTCTCCTTACAGCTGCTCTTTACCTTGCTGTAGTTTGCCTTTTTTTTTTTTTTTAAACGAACTGCTCACTTAAAATTTAGAGTGATTTTATAATTCGAGTTAGACGGAGCAGAGACCTCGTTTGTCATTTCTTTTCAGAAATATATATATTTTTTTCCTGCCAGAGTTTACCTTTTCTCTATCCTATCATTTCCAAGAATACCAAGGCTTTCCCTTGCCTCAGGAAGGTCAGGTCCAGGCGGATCCGAGTGAGTTGCTGGCGGGCTGGACGGACGGTGGCAGAGCCGGACGTTCGGCGCGGATCCGCCCTCGGGAACCCGGACCAGGGAGCACCTGCAGCAGGCGCATACTGGGCCTGGGAACGCCAGCTGGGCCGATTTTGAAGCTGCTCTGCACCCGTGGCTACTACGGTGGAGACACTGAGACGATGCCCTGGAAAACAGCATTAAGAACACGGCTTTTGGGGGAGGAGATTTGGCGAGAGTCACCAAAGCACACCTCGCAGCTCGCGGGCCCCAGAGACGTTTATAAATGTGACCCCTGTGCCTCAACACGAAAACAATTTTCTAAGGTTTCACACTTTCCAGGAAAGGGCGGTGGACACCTGATAAGGGCCAATGAAGCGTGCGGGGGGGCCTTTTCGTGCTCACGAGAGGAGCCCCGCGGTAGGTGCGGCAAGGGCGGCGGGCCGGCAAAGCTGCCCCGCCGAGTCGGGCGGGAGTGCTCCCTGAGGTGACAGGAGGAAGCGGGAGGTGGCGGGTGGAGAGGAGGTTCCGCCCCCACCTCGCTCTCCTCTACGGGAAGTGATGTGAGGCCCGACGGAAAATAACCCGCCGAGAACCCACAAGGGCCGGCAACGGGCGCGCGCGCAGGAGGAGCGGCGCGCGGACTGCGGGGTGGAGCCAGGTGAGCCGGGCTGCTGCGGGAGGTCCGGGAGGCGCCGCGGGTCCCCGGCTTTGGGGGGCTTCCGATTCAACCCGGAGGGCGACGCACGGTAGCCGGCGAGTGGCGGGGCTGGCCCCGGGGCTGGCCAGGGAGGCTGCGATTCCTCCTCCAGCTTCTGCGCCTCTGAGCCCGCCGGAAAAGTTGCTTTGCCTCTGGCAGGCGCTCGGCACAGACCCTACGGTGACAACCGCCGGGGGTGGGGGGCAGCTTGAGCGACGTGCCGCTTAGTTGAAGTTCCAGGTTGGCTCGGGGCTGAAGGCTTCTCCGGGTGGCATCCAGGAGCGAGCGTCCCCGTTAGTGGGGAAGGAAACTTCACTGGCAGGAGAGGAGGAAAGTCCGAGACCTCCTACACTGCCCCATAGCTCCTTCCTCCCTCCTGTTGTTTTCAGCTTAATTACTGAACGTCTTTACACCCTTGCTGGTAAGGGCCTGGACAGCACATTCGCTGGGTGAGAGAAGGTTCTCCAGTATCCTGTCAGTCAGACCGAAAACACTACCTGGCAGCCAAGCCCTTGGGTCTTGACTCATGGTAGGACTGACGTGGAGACAGGTTTTGGTAACTCTTGCCAAATCCTTCTCTCTCTCCCAGTAGATCACCAATTAAGCAAAGTTAGGCCTGAAATGAAGGAACCCTTGTGAGCCCTTGACTTCATCTTCCCAGCCTTTTGGCTCCTGCTGGCCACTAGGCCACATGGCCTCAGAATGTTCTGCCACAGGGCCCTCTTCCTTACCTCTGTGGGCTAACAGCTGTTTCCCCCCCCCGGCTTCATGAAGTTTCACTTTATGTTTGGCTCCTCACCCAGATGTGGGGTTGGGGGAGTAGTGTTATGTCCTATTAGTTTTCTGTAATTATTGCTGATTTAATTTGCTGGTAGCCCATTGTTCCTATCCCCTCCCCCCTTTTTCTGCCCTCTTAAAAACTTATTTTAGGGGGAAAACAGTCTGGAAAACTGCTCTGCAGATGATTAGAAATTAAGAAAGGTTAATAAAATGCTGAAAGAACCAAAGATCATTCTTTATGTTAGTTTTCACCTACTTTCTTCCTTTTCTTCCTTCCTTTTCTCTTCCTTTGTCTCTCTCCTTTCCCTTTTCTTTCTTCTTTCTTTCTTTCTTTCTTTCTTTCTTTCTTTCTTTCTTTCTTTCTTTCTCCTTTCCTTTCTACCTTAAATTCCATGGCTTGCCTTGATTTTTTATTTTGATGAAGTATAATTAAGTTTCTCTTTTGTTGCTTGTGCTTTTAGTGTCAAATCTAAGAAAGCACTTCTGAACCTAAAGTCACAAAGATTTATGCCTGTGTGGTTGTTTGTTTGTTTTTTTAAGCGTTTTATAGGAACGCCTGGGTGGCTCAGTCGATTAAGCATTCGACTTCGGCTCAGGTCATGATCTCACGGTTCGTGGGTTTGAGCCTCACATTGGGCTCTGTGCTGACAGCTCAGAGCCTGGAGCCTGTCTTCAGATTTTGTATCTCCCTCTCTGACCCTCCCCTGCTCACGCTGTCTCTCTTTCTCTCTCAAAAAATAAATAAAACATTAAGAGAAATTTTTAAAAAGCGTTTTATAGTTTTAGCTCTTACATTTCAATCTTTGATTCATTTTAAGTTTATTTTTGTGTATGGTGTGAGGCAAGGGTCTAATTTAATCCTTTTGCATGTGGATATGCAATCCTTCCCTAGGACAATTTGTTGAAAATATTATTTTCCCCCTTTGAATGGTCTTGGCACCTTTGTTGAAATCATTTGGCTGTTCATGTGGGGGGTTATTTCTAGACTCTTAATTCTATTTATTGATTTATTTGTCTATCCTTATGCTAGTATCCTACGATCTTTATTATTGTAGTTATGTAGTAGGTTTTTTGAGGTTTGGGAAGTGTGAGTCTTCCCATTTTGTTCTTCTTTCTTTGAAATTGTTCAGGTTATCCTGGGTCCCTTCAATTTTCATATGAAATTTAAGATCAGCTTCTCAGTATCTTTTGCTTTGGTTTTAGAGCAGATTTAATGGTTTTGAAGTGGGCCACAATCTCTAGGAACCAGACTCTCTATTCCCCTCTCCTAAATCTGCTTTCACTTGGTCTTTCCCATCTCGGTTAACGGCAACTTCACTCTTCTAGATTCCCACACTAAACACTGTGGAGTCACCTGATTTCTCTTCTTTTTCTCATTCCCACATCTAATCCTTCAGTAAATCTCCCTGGCTCTACTTTGAGAAAATATAGTACACATGGGATAAAAACCATTTCTCACCATTTCCACCGCTTTTACCAAGATCCTTTCATTTCTGTCATAATCTTTTGGATTACTGCAAAAGCCTCCCACAACACCCCCCCCCTTCACCCTCACCACTCTACAGTCTGTTGTAAACATAGCAGCTAGAGTTCATTATGCCACTCACTCCTCTGTTCACAACTGTCCAGTGGCTTTTTATCTCAGAAGAAAAAGTCCTCATTGTGGCCTGCAAGCTCCTGATGTGCTGCGTGGCTTCATCTTCATTATCCTCCCCTTTGCCTGCTCGGCTTCATCCACACCTTAAGACTGTTGCTTTTGCTCTTTCCTTTGCCTGGAATCCTTTTCCTTCAGATGTCTGCATGACTTTCTCTCTCATTTCGTCCAAGTCGAAAGTCATTTCTTTACAGAGGCTTTCTTGAACCATCCTATGTAAAATAACATTCCTCACCCTACCTATCATTTTTTTGCCCCCTTACCTTGCCTTATTTTTCTTTAGAGTATCTATAGCACTGTCATCACACACACACACACACACACACACACACACACACACACATGCAAAGCTATTGTTTCCCACTGGTAGAATAGGCTTCATGAAGATCAGGAATTTGCTTGTTCTGTGGTGTGCATAGCACCTAGAATGGCTTCTGGCACATATCAAGCTCTTTAAAAAATGTGTGTTGAAAGAATGAAAAGGGAATGAGAGACTGAGAAATGGGGATCACTCTACTGTTGCTTTCTCTCTGTTCCTTCAAACTTCACCTAAGAGAAGCTATGTCCAGTTACACTAACATCTCCTCTGTCTCCCCTGTTCTATCCTCCTATTCCCCCAAGAGAATTGCTTTGGGTTCTTCCCACAGTGGCAGTGGGGAACCCTCTTCTCTGTGGCCTGGGCAGACTGTGTGGGGGTACTGAGTACCTGTCTCCAGGTATACTGCTTCTTGTGCTGAATTCAAATTCAAGAAATTCATTTCTTGATGAATACTTTGCATTATGGTGAATTAATCCTTCTCTGGCTTCTAACTGAAATTGCAATTCTGAGACATTTTGACATTTAATTACATAACTACTTTAGACTGGAAACTGTTTATGTATATTAGTGTCTTACATGTCTTATGGCTAGATTGTAATATCCTGGAGGCAGAGCATGACTTCAGCTCACTTTTTGAGTCTTATACTGCAAGGTATCTTAGATAAAAGAAATGTTCAATAATAAATTCTTGCTGAAGGTACCAATAAGCTAATGAATAAACCTGGATTTATTTTTATCATTGGAAACTTCTAGTCCATATGTTTAATTTTTCTTAGCCAATAGCTGTAAATATCTTGTTTTAGTCCACCTTATCCTGCTGCTTCTGATAGAGCAATATTGGCTGCAGATTCCTGCTGCCCTTTCTCAGTGAGAATTAAATTACTCAGCCTAGAGAGTATAGTAATTAATCTTGTAAGTTATTTAAAAATTCAATCAATGTTCCATTATTATTTAAACTATATCTATATTTGCAAATATGGAAAAGGATTATTTTTACATATATATGGGATATATATATATACACACATATATACGTGTATTTCCCCTAATGAATTATATTTGAATCTCCCAAAAAATAAAACAGAGCTTGCATTTTAAGTCTGACCCCCTAACTAACTAGATGTGGGTAATCCTCTCACAATGTAAATGTGCATCAAATTATCATGAAGTACACTTTAAATATGTGGAATTTTATATGTCAATTATACCTCAATAAAGTTAAAATTAAAAACAATGTGAGCTCCTAAGAAGCAAGATTGTGTTGCCATTATTAAAACAAGATTGCTTTCTGAAGAGAGTAATTTTTCCCTTTCACTGCTTTCGCTTTTTATGCTTTGTGCAGTTTTTGCTTGAATCACATTTATTCCTCTGCCTCTTGGTGAGGAAGTTTAAGTTTATGATCTGGTTTCTCTTGAGCTGATTACCTTGGGAGCAGACATGAGCTCTGAATTGGAGGAAGAGATAAAGGCTTTGTAATTAACTTTATGTCCAGAGAGTGAGATATCTAGTAGAGCAGCGAGCGTCCAGCTTGTTTGCCCTCCAGTCTGGTCATGCAGCACAGAAGGTATACCGCATTCTCTTCTTGTATTATTGAGGTCTACTAACACTCTTATTTTATTTACTGTTAACTAAAATTTGTTGCTCTGTTGACTCAAGAGGAAAGTTGAAAATTATTTCTCCATTTATTTATTTATTTATGCCTCTATGTGTGTTACTCTTTTTTAACTTTGTTTAAATAAAAAATATTTGGCATGGGGCCCTACATGGGGCTTGAACTCATGACCCTGCAATCAAGGCCTGAGCTAAGATCAAGAGTCAGCTACTTAACCAACTAAGCCACCCAGGCACCCCTCTGTATGTGTTATTCTTGAAAAGGCCTCCCATTTTGTGCCTCAGCCACCTCAGAAGTACTCACATATATGGAACCAGACTTTTGATTCTTAAAATTGAACTTCTCATTTGTGGTTGGAGGTAGGGTGCTAGATTTAGCAAGAAAAAAAAAAAAAGAAATTTGCATTTTTTAACGTTTTTTATTTATTTTTGAGAGAGAGAGCATGAGTAGGGGAGGGTCAGAGAGAGAGGGAAACACAGTATCTGAAGCCAGCTCCAGGCTCTGAGCTAGCTGTCAGCACAGGGCCTGATGCCTGATGAGGGGCTCGAACCCATGAACTGTGAGGTCATGACCTGAGTGGAAGCCGGATGCTCAAC